TAGAAGCTCCTCCGGAAAATCGGGAACGATAGAGAGTAATTCATCGCTGTACCCATCAAAATTTGGGGGAAGATTGAAATATCCACCTGCGGCAAGACTATCCAGAAACGCAGACAACTCAGGCCAAGGCTGCTGGTGGTCTTGTCGACGACTAGACTCCGCGGCTGCAGCAGCGGAGAAACGGGTCTGAGTATGGAGGTGGCGGGAGGAGGATTGGGCAGAGAAAGGCGACGGAGAGGAAGAGTAGTGATTTTGGGAGAAGAGGAGAGGATTAGTGGCGCGAGAATGGTGAAGAAGGTGGTGGTGGCGTCGGCGAGTGAGGTAAATGAAGGAACGAGAACGATAGTGGCGGAGAAGAGGAGGAGGGGGAGAGAAGAGCGTGAGGAACCTGGTGGCCCCGCCCATTTGTGATTAGAATTAGAGGCCGCAGAAATGCATTGGGAAAGAAGAAGAGGAATTGAGGGTTTAGGGCCAAAACCCTAGCAACTTCTGCAGCTTTACGGGTAGAAGATAGGGTTGAAGAGGGGAGAGAAGGTGAGTGAGTCCAGTTGGTGTTTAATGTCTAATGTCACACACACAAAATTACATTCATCATATTTTTAAATTATTATATTATTTTATTTTTAATTTATTTTGTAAAAGTTTTATGTAATATTATAGTAAAATAAATAAAACAATTTTACACTTCAATAAAAAATCATGATTTAAAATTAAATTATTTGTATTGCATTGTAATTATTATATATGTATACATTTTCTATTAAAAAATAATAAATTTTTTTATATAATATATATCTTCTTTATTAAGTTTGATTATGAGGAGATTTATCCCAAGACTATCCGTAAGCTTTTAAATTGTACCATTCTCATAGCATCTCTCAAATGCAAAGTCTACAAAATTTAGTACTTGGACTTAAATATTCATTATATAAACACATATATGGGTAATATATTTATATATATATATATATATATATTGAAAAAGTCAAATGAAAATAAAACTATTTAATATTACAAGAGCTATTGTGCTATTGGGCCTGATTGGCATCTAGTCCAGAACAAGAAATAATATGGGGAGATTTTTTTTAAGGCAAGAGGGCCACATAGGTATATATTTCTTAGGAGGGCTATGGAGCTTTTACTGGAAAATGGGTAGCATTTTGGACTCGGTTACCCAATTAATCTAACCCCTCCAAACTCAATTCGATATTATTATTATTTTTTTTTCTTTGGTTAAATTGCAACTCGAATTCGGTTCTGTTCGACAGAAAAATTAGGGACAGATTATAGTGCATTCATATTTGGCTTCCCACAATCCATTCGAACCCGACTTGTTATATTTTAACAAAATATTGCATACCGACTAATCGAGGTTTAATAAAGCTTGTGTTTTCATATTATTGTCGTGCTATTTTTTCTGTTCGTGACATCTTATCTAGGAGGATTTGTAGTTGTTTAAGAATAGTCTTGCTGGTAAGAAATTAAGCTGTACTCCTATGACTGTGTGTTTACTTACATCAAACGAACAACACTAAGATGTTATTATTCTAAACCCCACGTACCTTTAAAAATATTTGTGTATTTATATATCTATGTTATCTGAAGATAATATATATATACACATACATATTACTCAACTTCATGAAATGTAATCCTTGTGGGTCTTTTGCGACATGTACTTTAAATAATTTATCAGATAAATTCTATCCCATATTTCCAAATTCAACCCTTTGAACTAACTAATTAGTATTAATACTTAGTTTTGGCTGTGGTTATATATATTACACTATTGTATACAATTATACTAAGCAAGTTTGTATAACTTAAATTGAAACTATTCTTTAATTGTAATGACTATACTTTCTATTAGTAATCACGTATACTTTTGCTAAAAGATAACGAGTCTTTATGTAAAATTTTTTCTTGCTACGAGTTCTTTTTTTCTTTATATACATGTATATATATATATATATATATCTTAAAATCTTCACCTAAATTTTAACTAAAAGTGATTGCAATATGATGATATTAGTCAACAATCACCACTCCAATTATAGGTAACTTTTCAAGTTTCAATCACATGCAAGCCTTAGAGAGAATCTTGATTAGGTAATTTAAGATTTTGTAAGATAGAGAGAGAGAGAGAGAGAGAGAGAGAGAGAGAGAAATTAGGAAAGCAAATATTTTCCTAAACTATAACTGGAAACTAACCTTCATACTACATTATTGTCTCGTTAATTTTCAAGATTCATTCCCTTGGTTGCTAATTGACAAAACACAAATTATTGTTGTCACATTCCAAGGATGTTTTAAGAAAACAAATGTTGCATTAAAAGTAGCCAAAAAAAAAAACATGCCCCGTAGACCAAGTTAAGAACATGTGCTTTGCCTCAATTTTTCTTTCAAGATTTACGAGTACCGTGATACATTAAACTTGAAATTGAACTTTCGTATTTGAATATTTCAATTTACAACGACAAAGTTTTTATTTATTTTTCAAAGTTGTACGTGATTATACGTATATCAAAAAGAAAATGAAGAATATGAGTCTATTAAAGTTGTTGATAAACAAATGGCGACAACTTAATTGCTATCAGCAAGCTACTAAGGATCACTTGGAGCGATGATGTTGATTGCAAATTTAATATGTGACTAAATCATCTTTATGGTTGTAATTAACGAATGATATAACAACCGCATATTTATATTTAGTTTAATAAATATAAGAGCCAATCATTCAATAGAAATCTATCCATTATTGAAAAAATAAGCTTATAGTTTTATACTACCAAATTTTTTATTTGTAATTATAGACAAACGATTAGATGCAACTGAGGATGGCATGATCGCATGACTATAGTTGCGAGAAAAAAAAAGTTGCTAAAAGTTAATATTAACTCATTGACGCACTTCTTTTAACTACCACTGCATTGCCCCATTTAATAGGCTTATCTCCTCGTCATACCGATGCAATTCTTTCTTTTCATATTATTTCATCAAATGTTCCAATATTTTTAGTTTGAAAAAAGAGTTTCTGAGTTCTGGTAATATGAATATATGTGGTATAAAAATAAAACATCAATAGTAATGCTTTGAATCTCATGGTATAAGCGCATTACTCAATGTCATCACTGTTCATATGGTGAAATAATTTTAACTCTTTCTATAGTGCCGAAATGTTAAGTCTGTCTTGTTGTATCTTAAGTTATTGTCTTTTTTTTTTTTAATACATCTTAAAATTTTTATATAAAAATTATAAACAAATACTTTTATTTACATATTGTTGTAGATATGTATTATTGAATTAAAATATTCGAAAAAGGTCTTCTTCACATGCTAATTGACGGAGTTGTCATTATTCTTTTTGTGTCATGCTCCTCAACCCAGCAAAATACATATATTAAAAAATACCTTAAATTCTTAAAATTAGATTTAATAATAATAATTAAAAAAATACCTTAAATTATTAACACCTAAAGGGCGTATGTATACATATATTTATACCCAAAAAAAATTGGTTCAAATCGGATCAGACCGAATAAAAAAATATTTAAATTTCAATCCATGCTCTTTTTTAATTTGAATTACGATTCAATGTAGTTTCAATACTAATAAATATTTCTAACTATGTTCGAATACACTTATTGTATAAAATAATTATTTCATAATTATATTTTTAACAAATTTTTTTTTAAAAAAAAAAAAAAAAAAAAAGGGGAAAAGAAGAAAGCATATAGTCAAATATAAAGAGGGTGAATGTTAATGTATAAAGAGACTTGATTTTCAACAAAGGCTGCATATAGATATAGCTTTAGAGTAACATAAAGGACACACCCAACTACTTGTCATTCACTTTAATTCCCACAAAATTATCACTAGAAACGTTTCTACATCTCTATCAAACCATTTATTTGCCTTAACACAAATCTTCAAACCTCAATTTGGAAAAACATTTTACCTTCATTTGGACCCATCATTTACCAATTTCTTTTTATAATTCACATATATTATTTATTACATTGTTATTTTTTTACACACACACAAATACACATAAGTAGGTGATCAATGTAATCATAATAAGTGTCAAAAATGTTGAAAACTAGTTTTCTAATCTAATCTAACGTGTTTAATATATACCGGGGGTCAAAAAAATTTAAAAAAATCACGAATTTCTTTTAAGAAAAATATATAATTTAGTAATTATATAGTTATTTATTATCTTATATCATAATATTTCTTATGTAATCTTTTATAATTAATTATCTATTAATTTTTTTAATGTATCGTAATATACGTAAATTTTATTTTAAATAAGTATTAAAGTTTATATCTTTATCTTAAAATAAGATTTTAATCACCGAGGAATTAAAGCCATTAGTTGATTATTTATTAGTTAATTTTTTGGCAATTAATCTTACTAGGTTAAAAACCCACAAATGGTTTTTATACTTATTTAAGAATACACTTTATTGCTTATTGATTTTATTGATTCCTCGTGATTATATGTATACATATATATATATATGAATCTTTTACAAATGTTATATAAGGTAAATCTTTTATAAAAGAAGTGCCGATAGCTACTTTGAAGCTGCCATTATTGGGCACATGAATCTAGTTAAATACCAGTTAAAATAGTCAAATTTAAGAACAGAAAAAACGTATTTTAATGTAGACTTAATTATCATGCACATACA